AAAAAAAATTATACTGCAGATATTTCTTTATTCATGAGATTAGAAAGATAAACTAGAAAGCTGAAGAAACCCCAACATATTGCTCAGATGAAAATCAACAATCACATTACAAATATATTAATAGCAACCTCAGTTCTGCCAAAGGACCATATTTATGTAACTAAAGTACCACTGCTATCCTGAAGTGGAAAATATTAGCATTGGAAGAAATCACATTTTGCACGTGCAGCAATACAAAAAATATTTAAGGGACAAAAGTCCTAAAAGGGAGGAGGGAGTAAAAAGACAGAAAGAGAAAAAATGCAAAAGTATGTTGTGTTGCTGCAAACTGCAGCATGTGCATTGTCTATTTGTTGGAACTCTCACAATACATGACATAACACAGTCACGTTCTAAGAGATCTCTGAAAGCAATAGGCTTGTAAAGGGAAGAAGAAAAAAAAATCTGAGCAGCTTTCTCTGCCTCTTTCCCAAGTTCCAGTTCTGAAGACAAACTCTTCCTCAGACTGGCACTTTTCAAGTATGTTGAAGTGTGCAGATTTAGTCTCATACTGGCAGGGAATTCTGGGATAGAAAGCAGTGAAGCCCTCACTTGAGTGCAAGCTTGGCTGGGAATACTTTCAACAAACATAATGATGGTGGAAGGAGAAAGCCTCCTCAAGAAGTCTCAAGAAAGCAGGCCTTGTCAGTCCTGAGGAGGCACACAAATGCCTTTTCCCCTCCCACAAACCAGAGCAGAAGTTTGAAGAAACTTCTCTCTGCCTGTGGGTACAACCGCGACCCGCTATCTGCCTCACCATCTCTTCTCCTTGCAGGCAGGGAAGTCACCACAGATCAAGCTTTTATAATCACCTGCAGTAAAAGCCATTCTTCACATGACTGAAAATCACAGCCAGGCTGAATCTAATCCCAGCCTTGTCAAAGTCTGGATCACAGTGTTGCCACAGTGACATATTTATGTTAGAATAAGCTTCTGTGGACTAGAGGCTACTTTGACATGTAAAGCGCTGTGATGAATAAACAGGTATACATCTTCAAGCAGATAAAGGAGAAAAAGTTTACAGGGGATCTATTTGTTGTTTTCTTGCCTGACCATGGTATCCTAAAAAGCCTTCTCCAGTTCCAAAGTTCAGAAGCAACAACAATCTTTCTATCTTTTTCCTTCAAGGTCACAGAGGAGATCTAGCATTCATGAAATTTGAGAAAATTGTATTTAGATACCTCAAGAAATCACCTTCAGTCTCCTAAGCCATGCATGCATACTTGGGAATTAAAGCATTATATAATCTGGAATTTAGGAATAGTTGTCATATCATGGATAATTTGATACCATAATTGAAATTCATCCATGATATAATTAATTCTATGTATTTCAAAACTGAACACGTAATATCATCTCACAATAACATCCCATCCCCTGGACCACTAAAAATCCTAAACCTTGGCCAAATCTGTTGCAAATGGTTGGACTGAGCAAGGCATGATATGTAAGTGGGTAATCACACTAATGCAGAAAAGGTGGTTGTGTGTATATGGGGTGGGGTAATCTGCTTCTTCTCTCATAATACTCATGGAAGTCAAAATTATTCACTAAAGCTGAACAACAGTATTAGGGACCCACAAAAGGCACTATTCGGTTGCTTAGCATACAAATGGAATTTGCAACCACAAGATGTAGTGATAGCTATCAACTGGCTTTAAAAAGGGACTAGGCAATTCCTCTGAAGTCCAAGAGCATGCCTCTTTGTCTCATTTGTTGGAAAAAAAATGTCAATAAGCAATAATCTGTTGCCCTCGGCTTCCCACCATCTTTACTTATAATTGGCCATCATGAGAAAGAGAATCTAGACAAGGAAGGTGCTAGGGCTCATCCAATCTGGTTGTCTTCTTATCTTTTCTTTTTCCAGCTTAACATAAAAGGGTCAAAATATTGCAGTGATACTTGACTTATGACCACAATTGAGCACAAAATTTCTGATGTTAAGTGCATTTTGTCCCATTTTACGACCTTTCTTGCCACAGTTGTTACATGAATCACTGCAGTTGTTAAATTAGTAATATGATTGTTAAGTGAATCTGGATTCCCATTGACTTTGCTTGTCAGAAGATCACAAAAGGTGATCACATGATCCCAGGACACTGCAATTGTCATAAATATCAGCCAGTTGCCAAGAATCTTTATTTTGACTACATGACCATGGGGACGCTCATTCTGAAACAGTCCTAAGTATGAAAAATGGTCATAAGTCACTTTTTTTCAGTGCCGTTGTAACTTCAAACAGTCACTAAATGGATGATTGTAAGTCGAGGACTACCTGTATTATTTTTTTTACTTCTGAAATGCCCAGTTCAGCAGAGCTGGTACAGTGTGTCAGTCTCACTTTCCTTCTGTTCTTCCTACAGATGAGAATCAAAGCAAACATGATGGAGAAACTGAAGAATTCCCAGTCACCTGTTAAGCCTGAGCAGCCAATCCTTCCACCAGCAGTTACCCCAACCCCTCTTCCTTCCCCAGATGGTGGGCAAAGTGATGTAGAGGCCACTGAACCACTCACCATCCCCACCTCTTTCTCACCTCAAACAAAGGGGAGCCCTCCTGCTGAGGCTCCCCATGCAGTACTGCCCCCCAATGTCCCTGTCATCAGCCTGGGCTACAGCAAGTCCCCCACTCCTATTGAGGTCCCCACAACCCAACTCACTGCCCTACACCCCATTCCTAACTTCTTGCAGTTCTCAGGTCTGCCACCTGGACCCCCTCCACCATCCCTGCCTCTGGCTGGAGTAAGGAGTCCACTTTTAGCCCCACAATACCAGCCTCATCCTTTTCTCAACAAGTAAGTCCAGAAATCAGATCTGGGGGGGAAGGGGGATGAAGAAAGGAAGAAATCCTGGTTATGTGGGCAAGCTGCCAGTGCCAACCCTGGGAACAATGGCAGTGGGTTCATCTAGATTGTGTTATAAGCAAATTATCCCTTTTTTCGAAATTGACAAAAAGAGAACTATTGCAGGTCCATATCAGCAACCAGAGATTTTTTGTGACAGTGTTTCCCAACATGGAATATGTGCAATTCTCAGAATACCTAGCAAGCATTTATGTTCCATACTGACTAGAATTCTGAAAATTGAAGTCCAAACATATCTGGAAGGTACAATATTAGGGACAGGTGTTTTCCTGAGACATACTACAGATCACCAAGCCTTTAAAGTCTCAGGGCAATTGAATTTGGAAATTGAGAAAAAAGCATCCCTTGCTAATAAGATAACTTATTGATAAGTAGTAGAAGCTCCCACACAGTGGAAACCAGAGAGGACCTCTTTCAAGCAACAAGGTGAGGATAGCAGCTTAAGCATGGAGCTTATTAGGTCGAGGATCAAGATAACAATAACAGTCAAAGTGTTCATCTCATCAAGCAGATGACAAAACCAGATGGATTTGTAACTTACTGACAGACCATACTCAACGAGTAGTCCTTAATGGTACTACAGCTACATGGAGGGAAGTAAGCAGTGGGATACCACAAGGTTCCGTCTTGGGCCCGGTATTCTTCAATATCTTCATAAATGACTTCGATGAGAGAATAGAAGGGGAACTCATCAAATTTGGAGTCATAGTGGATGATCACTTAAATATGAGCTAGCAGTGTGCAGCGGCAGCCAAAAAAGCTAATACAATCCTTGGTTCTATAAACAGAGGCATAGAATCAAAATCATGTGAAGTATTAATACCACTTTATAAAGCCATACCTGGAATACTGCATCCAGTTTTGGCCATCACATTACAAAAACGTACAAGGAAGAGAACTAAGATGATTAAAAGCCTGCAGATAAAACATATGAACGATTGCAAGATTTGGGTTTGGCTAGTCTAGAGAAAAGAAGAACTAGGGAGGACATGATAGCTGTATTCCAGTATTTGAGGGACTGCTACAAAGAAGAGGGCATCAAACTATTCTCCAAAGCACCAGAGGGCAGGACAAGAAACAATGGATGGAAACTAATCAAGGAGAGAAGCAACCTGGAATTAAGGAGAAATTTCCTAACAGTGAGGACAATTAACCAGTGGAACAGCTTGCCTTCAGACATTGTGGGTGTTTCATCACTAGAGGTTTTTAAGAAAAGACTGGACAGCCACTTGTCTGAAATGGTATAGGGTCTCCTGCTTGAGCAGGGGGTTGGACTAGAAGACCTCCATGGTCCCTTCCAGCTCTATTCTCTATTCTATTCAGTAAGTCATGTCCAACATATCTTAATTTTGTTCTTTTAGTCTGATTTGTTATTTTCATTTGCAAGAGATCCTTAGTGGGAAAGAGATCTTCTAATTATTTGATCCTGGCAGTCCTTTACTTGTTTATAGTTTGGGACTTGCCAAAACATGAACTCTCTTTACTACTATCTGTAATGAATGAGTTAACCTAGCAATTTAAGGCACAACAGGGAAGATTGGTCTTTGATTGTTTTACTGAGTTTTCTGGCCAGGACTTTGGAGGAAGCTGAGCTTATGAACTGTGGCCAAGCTACACAAAATTATATATCTGTAGAAATGGTCTAGAAAGGTTCAGCTTTATTCATTATATGCTGAGAGAACCAGTGTGAAAGTGAGCAACCTGGAGGCCACTAATAATATTTCTACATGATAATGGTCCATCCAGTGCCATTCTGTGTGAAAGCCGCTACTTGAGTAGGGATGGTTGGATTGATGGAGTGGTCCCTGCCAGTGGTCCTTGAGAACGTGATAGGTTCCTGACCACTCTGAATGGGAGAAGAGCAAAGTTGTCAATGTGTCTCAGATTCAGTTTCATCCAGTGATTTCTTTTAATGTTGAGCTTCCATTTTCTTCCCATGGTTTATCAACAGCCCAACAGTGGGTGTCCTCTCTACTTGGTCAGTCTAAGTTGTCTTTCCTGAACATGCTTTCCCTTGCCCCAGCATCTGATGTAGGCATGGCATCAGCTGAGCTGTTAGGGAAGTTTTCTACCCTATAATGGGATGACAATCTTTTTCAGAATTAAATTTGGAGGAACACTTTGACAAATACATCCAAATATTTATTTTGTGGATTATGATAATAAGATGCATCCCAAACAATGTAACTGAGCCACTCACAATATGTGAAGGAATATAATTGAAATGATTGTTGTTAACTGGGCAGGTTTATCCTAGGTATGGGTTTTTATTTTTCACCATAGTACAAATGCTATAAGGCTGGACTTGCAGAGAAGGAGGCAACAGACCCTACATAGAACATTGTTGATCCTGGACCTGCTGCCAAGAAATATGAGAAAATGATAATATTTGTAACTTATTTTTGTAGAAATATTTGTAAATAAAGTTATACAAGCTTGTATGCATGCTTTGAGATGGAGGTTCTGATCACTGTTCTTATTTATCTCTAGCATCTACCTAGGCAACTCGGGGACTTTTGGCCTCTTTCCCAATAACCGCCTCAAGCGGAGACCAAGCCATTATGAGCAAGACATTACTGAAGGTGAGTGGCCATGGGGAAAAATCAAGTGTGTTCCTCTCCCAGGACAGAGCAGAGTGGACTAGCAGAGTAGCACATGTGACAGATATGGAAACAGCTTGTATAAAGTGACTGCCAATATGGGGGAAGGTGTTCTCAATTCATGTTCAACATAACCCCTTTTGCAAAGGCCTCTTACTCATTCAGACTTTTCCGTATATTTGCCCAGGTCTTCAACCCCAGAAAGTGGCACGCCGGGTCTTCACTAATAGCCGGGAACGGTGGCGTCAACAGAATGTGAATGGTGCCTTTGCTGAGCTTCGGAAACTCATTCCCACCCATCCACCTGACAAGAAGTTGAGTAAGAATGAGATTCTTCGCTTGGCCATGAAATATATCAATTTCCTGGTCAAGCTACTGAGTGACCAGGCCAGACTGGCTGGAGGGGAGACTGCTGAAACAGACAGCCCCTGCAATGGCACTCCCAGGACTCCATCACCATCAGCATCCATAAAACTGGAACAGTTGACCGTCGAGTCAATGACTGTGTTGGAAGCAGGAGAACCACGGTGATGTCTAGCAGTAAAAGATCACCATCATCACCCATCTCGTGCATCTACAATGCTGCACACATGGATGAAGCTACCTAGTATCAGTGGAAACTCCTTGACCTGCACATCCCTTCCTTGAGTCCATTACCCATGGAGTGGGCTGCCATAATAGGGTTATATTGACTTTGGAAGACTTCATTTGAATTCAGGAGTCCAAAAACAGATGGAGAAGGTGCTGGAGTCTCTTTGACTGAGACATCCATTGATGCCCAATGGAAACCTCAAAATGTGGGGGCTCTGGGAGAGATGAGATATGAGATTTTATGTACAATTCCCTGGTTTGGGCTGTTTTAGGGCAGCGGGGATTGCTTGAGCAAGCTAACTCTATATGATGTTTGGTTTGCATAAGACACCCTCTAGGTCTTGTTGGTTGTAAGAGGAAGATCTTGATGTCAGGTAACACCTTGGCTGGGAAGAGTGATCTGGAGTTTCATTTTCACTGTTTGCTAATCAATGCTTCTGACTTTTAGCCTTAACGACAAATCTAAGCTTTATTGTTGTTGGGGCCCCACATAAATATCTGAGCCTATACAAAAGAGCAAACAGATATAAAAAGAAGTGGCAAGGTTAAGAAGCTGAGCTCCCAGGCTCAGCCTCCTTTCCACCTTCCCATCAAAATGGGGCTTGGCTATATCGGTGACATCTTTCCAGATGGGAAAAGAGCTGCTGAAGAATTTTGAGCATTCTTGTCAATGGCTTGGAAAGCAAGGGCTACATCGCCTTATACAGACTGTTCAGTGCATTTGCTGTGGTCTGCCTAATTCAGTAGCTCAGTCAGGGATACAGGTGGTGCTTTGTGTGAGGAAATGGAGGCACCCGGGATCATTCAGTCAGGGAGGGCAAGGCTAGAGCTCTTCTTTTTGATAGCTCGTTTTCCTGAATGCACAATATTTTTCTTGGCAATTTTCTCTTATAAGCCCTCATCATCAGTCCCAAATATCAGGAGCACCACCTCTTCAGGAGAACTGGGCCTTAACAATGCTCTCTGTGATCCAGGCGTGCTGCTGGGGAGTTACTCCAGATGCAAGCAGTTAAGAGGGAGTGGATAATGGTGGCGCAGCAGCTGCTGTGTCACTCCCTAGGGGCCAGTTGGGAGGGGGGTTTGCTGGGAGCCCACAGTCTCAGAAACCTTCTCCCTTCCTGGAAAGAGAAGGGCGGTTTGTGCTGAGTCAGTATCTTGGACCTCTCCACAAACCCTGGGCCCCTTGCCAAAACCAAATATGACAGCAATGATTCTGGAGGGAGGGAGGCCTGGGAGGCCTGTTATCAGGTGAAGAAGTTTGCTAAAAAGTCTTTGGGGTGAAGGAAGAAGACAGATGACCATATCTACACACACACACACACACACAGGAGGTGTGTGTGGGGGCAGACACCAGCACCTATTCAGTTTCCAGGTTTGCTTTCAAAGGAAATTGTTCTCTGCTAGTATTTGCTTTTATTGGGAGGAGGATTTGTAAGATGGGATTCTTACATTCATCAGTGCTGTCCAGACCAGAAGCTCCTTGAAACCAAATTCTTCCATGTTGTATGATGTTTTAAAACTGAAGTCAATGCCATAAATAAAAAGAAAAGTAATATGTTTGGTGATAATTGTTGATCCAGTAAAAGATTGTGTGGGTTGCATGCTGTTTTGAACTTGAACTTTTCATGGCAAGGAAATGATGATGAGCAAATACATAGGTAAGCAAAGGGCAGGAAGGATAATGACATGCTTGGCATCAATGTGTATGTGTATGTGTACAGTATATAGCATATTTGTCAAGGATGGGACAGAAATGGAAGTGAAAAGCCACTGAAGATACAGAAGTACTGCATCCTGAGGTGATTCCTCCCCAGTCCTTCTGACATGCTGTAAGGTGTAATGGTTTGATGAAGCCACATTCAAGTCTCCAGAGGGGAAATGGCCCAAGTATGTCCACAGGGCCTGGTATATTATTCTGCCAACACCCACCAACTTACCTGACATCATGCACATTCCTTGGGTAACTTTTCCTTGGCTACAACCTAGTTACATGCTAGAAATTACCCCCAAAATACACAGAGCTGAATGGCAATTTGTGAGATGTTCCTGTTTCCTCTTGCCAGTTTTGATCTCATTTACTTTGCTGTGATTAAGGAGGCTTTCTTTTTGATTCTACCTTCTGGGTTTGTAGTCTAAGCAATCACTATGCCTTTCTTTCTCTTGTCCACTTTCTAAGCAGTCCTTCAATCACGTGATGTTGATTTTATTTTATTTTTCATATTCACTTACCATGCTATACAGGTTCTTGCTCTAGTCAGCTCAGTGAAAGGATCCAGGATATCTGTTTGGGTTTGCACAACATACTGAATCTCAACCAAGCCTTAGCCAACTATCTTTTAGCAAGGCATCTAGCCAGCGTGGGAAATCTGTGGCCACTGTGTCATGCAAACCTGAGAAGGATAGTAGAGTAAACTGTAACTGAATGTGGTCTAAACCTGTGGTCACTCATTAATGTTTATTATCAAATCATTCTTTAAGTTAGCAACATAGTTTTGTTTTGCTGTTATTGTTTATGTGGAATCTTTGAGGTGCCAAAATCAAATTAAATGTTTTGCTTAGAATTCAGTGAAAATAACATAGTTCCAAGGAAAACAAATAACCGAAACATGGCAGGCCCAGTCATTGAACTATTTTGCTCAGGCTCCACCATAATGAATTGGACAGCTTAAAGAAAGATGCAGTTCAGCAGACAAGAGCAACTCCTACTAGATTGTTAGAATTGATAGATGTAAAGAGGATATGGTGTGTTTGTATATATTGCTGAAGGCCCCTATAATCCAAAGTATAGTCATATTTTAAAAAGCAGTGGATGCTGTTACAATCTAACTCAGAGCAGGTAATGAAAAATGGATACATTTCCCACTGTGCTGGCATATGGAAGGTGTTGGTTTTAAATTCCACCACAGAGACAAACGGGCTCATCCATTTTAAAAAGTTGAAGTCAAGTTACCTCTCTGTATTTCAGTCATTGATTAGCAACAACTAACAAATTCTCCACTGTGATCCCCAGATGTCTTGGGACCAAGCTGGCAAGCTTTTTAGACCTGTGCATTCACCTGAGCATCTATTTTGCCATGGTTTCATATAACTGAGTGGTGCAAGGATCACTGTACCTCTTGATTTACTCAGACTTATCAATTTTATGATCCTCAAATAGTATTGGTAGAAGAGGAATAGAAGAGGCCTCTCCATGCTGAAAATTTCAGTTGCTTCTGTGAGGGTCAAGCAAATACAGTAAGAGGGTCTTCAGGACTATCTGCAGTATTGCCCTATAGAAGGGATGTCCACAGGGGATGATTAAGAAAGTCAAGATGGCTGCTACAGTGGTGCAGTTGAAGCTCTGCCTGTTTTTATTTGCACCTCATGCAGAGCTTTTGTGGATACTTGTGCTATGACACTTTAAAATCCACAGCAGAAGAGGGAGAAGTGTTAGAGGACCAGATATTTTTCCTGCCTGCCACTTCTTTGCTCAAAATCACCCTTCCCTTGAAGCCAAATACAAGCAAAGCTCAAGAATTCCCTGAGGGAAAGTGGGGTGGGGAAATTTGAGGAAATGGGGGATATGTGGAAATTGAATCCCACTTCCTGTATTGCTTGCTTTGATCCCATTGCCCTTCAGAAGCTGCCCTCCCTCTAAAGAAGTTGAAAGGTGTACTGTTGTACCATGCAATGGAGGACCCCCACACTGAATTCCAGGCAAAGGGCAACCAGAAAGAACCAGAAACCCTGCTAATAAGATACATCTTGGAATTGGGGCTGTGCTGAGAGACACCTAAGACAATCTCAAGAAAGTATTAAGTCTTCCCTTTTAGTTGGAATTAGTTGCCAAAAATGGTACTCAGGCAGCTATTTGTTCCTAAGATCTCCACTCAAATACAGAGCTTCCAGTGCTAGGACACCTGGTCCCTTTGCTTCATTACTTATACACACACTACCCCACATTACTTATACACATGACCTTGGACCATCTACCTTTTCGTACTGATGTTTTCACTTCTCAATTCCCCAGATGATCACAATCATTTTGTCATGTTTACAGTATCTTCCCTCTTGTAGCAATTAGACGTTTCAGGCCATGGTGCTGGGGTTTTCATTAGCAAAAGTAGATTTACATTTGTATTGGAAATTGATTTAAATCTAATGTTGTTAATATTGAGGCCTGAAAGCCTTGTGCTTTACCTAAAAGAGATGAAGGTCAAATGGTTGGTGTCAGTGCAAAGGAAAGCCAGAAGTGGGCTTCTGGAACAAACAAATACACAAATGTGTACATACCCTGGACAATAGGCTTAAAGGGATCTTAATTAGGACTACTGTCTTGACCTGTTTGTGTGCACCTGATCTTGGATGTTTTCTACATCAGGGTCCATGGCCATTAATCTCTCTCCCAAGTGCTCTCTCTTTCTCTTTCAAGGAAGACAAACAGAAACAATTACAGTCAATAACATTCTTTAATTCAATCAGTTAAAGAAGGTGCTGCATCTATAAACTTTTATTATGGAAAAATTGTAATTAACACATGCGTATTACACCCCGCTCGGAGAGTGGCACTTGGGGAGGGAGGGGTAGTGCCGAGGGCTGATTGGGACGGGCTGGGGCTGGAGGAGCTGACCCACCACATCACAGCTGCTGGTTCCCTTCTTTGGGGTGAGGGTGAGAGGGGGGAAGCTACGTGCAATGCAGGTCAGTTAGCAGAGGAGCTGTTCTGCAGACTTGAGCTATCTTCCCCTGTATAAAACCTGCAGGCGCGGAAGGGTAGAAAGTCATGATGGCTAGCAACCAAGGGGCTCCCACGAGCCCCCCCCCAAGGCGATTTGCTTTGTAATGTCTGTAAACATATTTTGTTCACATTTCTGAAGCTGGATGCATAAAGTTTGATCACTTTCTCTTCCTGTCTCAATTTGTTCGCTGGTGGCAGCAAAGGCATCAGTTTAAGGCACTTCCCTTAATTCGGCTGCAGGGTTATGAGTTCTTTTTGCTTTCAGAACCAAACCAGTAGCAAACCAACAGCTTCATAAGGAGTGGAAGGGCACTAAAGGGTCAAGGAAAAGAGCTGGAGATGGCTGCTCCGAAGCATCAGGCTGATATGGGTAGAAACAGATATGTGCATTTTAAGTCTAAACTAGGCAGGTGGCACACTTCTGGGAAAACTTACAAAAGAGCCCCTGTCCTTGTACCAAAATGGAGAGCTGCTATCTTAATATCCACATAGGACTAAGTCAAAATGGGGGTTCTTGTTGCAGGGGTAAAAGAGTCCTTCCTGTAAACATCCTGAGTGGGTTAGAGAAGGAAACACTCTTTAGGGCTACCATATCTGGGTTGCAAAAATCTGGATGGCCATTAGATAGCACCCAAAGGTTAGTGTTTTCTGTACTATACCGGTATGTCTACACCGCCTTTTAGTGGTCTTGCACTAGATCCAGTAGCCTTAGGGAGTGTGGTCATATTCCCTGGTCAAGAAAAAACAGAATGACATCAGTGGGAGTCATTTACCTCTGCAAGAAGTGGAAGACACAACAAAACACCTTACAAAACTTAGGGAAGATTTGGGGAACAAAATAGGCCTGTTGGGCTTACTTGTCATCTCAGTTAACTCCATGCTGTTTGGAAGGGATGTTCCTCCCAGTCTTCATGGGAAACAGGAGCATGGTTTCTTTCCTCCTAGTGTTGATCCCCCTAGATCCTCCCTTGGGAATGGCTACTGAACTTCCAGGACCTCAGGCCACTGATTATTAGTCCCTTTTATCGGATCACAGCAGTCTCTGGCAAACACATTGTAGGTGTTTGGAAACCCATAGGTGACTAAACAACCTTTGAAATAAGTCTATTCAAAGGCAAACTTAAAACTTGTCACTAATATTCCCTGTCACACTAGATATGAAC